TCTATCTATCTATCTATCTATCTATCTATCTATCTATCTATCTATCTATCTATCTATCTATCTATCTATCTATCTATCTATCTATCTATCTATCTATCTGTGAAAGAGCTAAGACATCTCTTCCATTGCCAAAGCACATGCGTGAAAACAACAATACAATCATCAAATAAAACTTTATAATAATCTCTTTCCAGTCTTCATTTTTTTTTCTGCCATATACCTGCTTTTGCATAAATGTTACAGGTTTTTGTAAAAGACGGAGGTTTGGTTGGTGCAAACATATGTTCAGTGTTTTCTTTTTACTTTATTCTGTCTGTAAGTTCTGTGTCTGAAAACCTGCTTTTTCTGAGTCTGCCTGTCGAATGTGTGTGAGCTGCATGCAACTGGACCGCTTCACGTCTGCTTTTTGAGATGGATTTTTTAAAAGTCAAAACATTCAAAAAGGGAAAAAGAGAAGGGGGAGATGTTCGTCCTGCTGGCTTTTGTCTTGCAGTGCAGTGAACCTAGGTTAACTCTGCTACTCTTCTGTTTTTTGTTGTTCAGTTATTGTACTCTTTGACCTGTTGAAAATTCATATGGCACTCTTCTTCAACTTACAAAGTGCTTTAAGACTTTTTGTATTTCTTTGAATGATGTTTTTATTTTTGCTGTTTTTGTTTCACTTCCACTGCGATTTGCCCTCTATGGCGACATGTATTCTAACCTCAATGAGGGACTTGTACAGTGTTACCTTCCATTTCCCCTGTTCACCTTGGTAAGAGTCAGACCTAGGCCACATTACCTACCTAAAGTCAGTTTCACCTCTCCAGTTGAGAGATCAGTCATGACACTCCAAACAAAAGCTGCAGGTCTCCAGTCTTTCCTCAGAGGTACAGCTGTTCTGAAAGGAGAAACACCATCATTGTCTGGGGCTAAACTTGAGAAGCACCAGCTGGCAGATTCTAATATACTTTACATTTGGACTTCTGCTAAAAAAAAGTCATTTTACATTAATTATGTATTAATAAGCAGGTTAATAACCTAAAAGAAAGCATTTGCGAAATTGTATAAGTATTATTGGTGTCTTGTGATAACTGGTTGGAGAAATTACAGGCTTAATTATTTTCTTGCTAACAGTAGCTTTAGAAGATTTAGGGGCTTCTCATAGCTGATGGTTTCCACCAGTGTACAGCAACAATGAACTAAAAAAATATGTTGTATAATTTAACAGTAAGATACAATAGTTAATATCACCTCCCACTTCATTATGGACATCTGTTTAACCTCTTGTTACCCATATATAAAATCAACCAATCACATGACAGCAAATCAGTGCCTTTATGCACTATGACTATGAATACTTAGATAATGCTGAGGGAAGAAACAATATTCACAAGGCTTTGAATGTGGCATTGTTGCCACACAGGGATCTCCAGGGTTTTTAAAAATGGTCCAAAAAAAGACAAAATATCCAGTCAGTGGCAGTTCCCTGAGTGAAAATGTCTCGTTAAGGTCAAAGGTTGGAGCTGATAGGAACGCAACAGTAACAGTAACACTGTGCCATTCCTTTCAGCTAAGAGCGGGAGACCGAGATAGCAATTCACATAAGCTCACCAAAATTGGACAATAGAAGAGGGAAAAACATTTCCTGATATGATCAGTCTCAATATCTGCTGTGATATTTAGACAATAGGATCAGAATTTGACATAAACAAAGCATCTTGCCTTGTATTAACAGTTTAGGCTGGTGATAGAGTGATATAGTGTGGGATATTTTTTTGGCAAAGTTTGAGCTCTTTCTACTAGGTGAGCATCATTTAATGTGACTGCTTACCTGAGTATTGATGCTGACTGTCTTCTGATGGGTGATCAGAGTTCATTGTATTCAAATGGTTCCCCACAGTTACCAGATCTCAATTTAATAGAGCATCTTGGGTGGAAGACGAGAGTCACATCATGGGGGCGTAACTGACAAATCTGCAGCAACTGTGCAATGCTTTCTTTTTATATGCACCCAAATAAATGAGGAATGTTCACAGAACCTCGTTGAATCTATGCCATGAAGAATCAATGCAGCTCTCAAGGCAAAGGTGGGTCCAACCCAGTACGGTAGTAGCAAAGTGTACTTAATAAAGTGACCAGTGAGCAAATATACTCTCTGTGCTTCAGAATTAGTGTTGGAGTGATGTGAAACCCCTGAAGCTACAGCCAGTTATCTCGGAGAAATAAAGAATTGATTGTCTTGCTTGGCTCAAAGACGGCCGCATACACCAATAAACTGGGCTTGATTGATCTAACTACTTGATTGATCAACAGGTTAGGATTTGAGGTGTAGAGTGTCCACTTGCAAAAAAAAAATTAATGTAAGCTACTTTCCTTTGTGCACCAAGGATGACAGTATATTTAAATAAAAATTGGTGTTTTATTTTTAACTCAAGCTGTTTTTTGCTTTTTTGAGGCTCCACCTGTGAGGTTTAACTCAAGCAGAAGGATTTCTCCCAAGGGAGCGGGTCTGCCTCTGAGAGCTGACCTGCTTCAAAGAAACATTTGCAAAACTAAATCTAATCTCTGCACCATGATTTTTGGGGTGTAATAATGTGGCCGGGGTCTGAACTGTGGCTGTGTTACATAATCATACTTTATGCCTTGTGGCTGTATGAAATGGCCCTATGACTTTGGAACCTGCTGTCCTCTGGTGAGCTACTTGTGTGTATGTTAATATATACACACCTTGTTGGTATTTATTTATTTATATATGTATTGTATGTATTGATTTGGTTATTTATTTATTTATTTATTCCTGTGTCCTATTTAATGGTTAGGCACCTGTGACATATTTGACGGTCGTCAATACATTGGTGTATGGTGTAGAGTATGGGAGGGGTAGTGATTGGGGGGAGGATGAAGGGGTATTTTGGGGGAGGGGTTGGGGGTGGGGTTGGTCAATGGAAAAAATCTAGCTGTGATACTAACTCTAACTGTTGCTCTCCTTGTATTGGACAATGATATAATCTAAGACCACTGTATGTATAACTGCTTGTCGTGAAGATGAACTACAATGTAATGACAATAAAGATTAACACTATGATGACACGGCACAAACAAGGCTCCAATCTGTTCTTCACAATGAGTCGATAAACGGAGGGATCAGACAAAGAGCTACAGCACCACTGACTGCACAAAAGTGGAACTGCATCAACAACCAGCAATGATTGCTAGTTTTAAAATCCTTCCTGTAATTTCATATTGGAAATGTTTCGGTTTGAGTCTATAGCACATAATTTGCAGGTCAAAGAAAAAAATGAATTCATGAGCAAACAGTTTTAATCTGCATTTTAATCACATTTTCTCAAAATTACTGTTAATATATTATGTTGTAAGTTAAAAATGATAACCACAATGATGCATTAAGCTACAACAACGATAATAATAATAATAATAATAATAACAATAATAATAATAACAATAAATATAAATAAGTGAAGGCTATAGTGTGTAGTGAAAATGTCATAAAGTCATAGTGAAAGTGAATTATCTCACATGCCAGACATTTTTTGCTAGTGATAAGCAATTCTTCATTATCGTTTATATTAATGTGGAAATAAATGAGATATGATTTTTCTTTTAGAGTTAAGTTACTGCACGTGGTCGACTTTTTATATCTGTGTAATGATTCCAAATGACAGTATAGTGGCGCTGTAGAGTATTGTTTCCCTACTGCTGCCGTTTCCCTCCATTTACAAATCAATATCTGATATGTTCAAGACCACCTCAGAAACTCGAAATTTACATACTCAAGCTGAAAAAACTCAAACTGTCTATATCACAGGAAAATTGGTGAATTTATAAAGCATCTAGTAAGGTTTAAGGAATCCAGCAGTCTTGAATCAGTTTTATTATCACTGTTTAAAAATACTGTCCGCAATTAAATGTTTTGGCCTATTTGTATTAATTTTTAGTCATTTTCTGTGCGAAGGCTAAATATCTAATTTATAACTCAGGCATTCAATGCACCATACGGCTTGACCCAATTTTCCACATGCGCCACTGGAACGTTCCGAGCATGCGTCAAGCTAAAGCGAGTACACTAGAACCTAAAGGAGGTTTCGTGTGTTCCCGCTAAAATGAGATGAAACGTAGAACTCTCACACGCGCTGGATAATCTCAAGACGAAATAAGTGCATATACGTGGATGAATTATAGAGTGCATGGCCTGAATGTAAAGTGTGCGAACCTCTGGGCGGAATAAGCCATGTTTCTACTTCCGCTATACCCACGTAACCACAACTTTATTTTGAAAGCCGTTCCCGGAAATGACGAGTATCTATTGTGGCTAGCTTCACTCCGGTTCCGCGTGTTGATGCTGAACAGAGGACGAGAGAGAAAACAAGCTTTCCATAACGTAAAGAACCAAAGCCAGGAAAAACCGGAGGAAAATGGACATGAAGAAGAGGGTCTCCTTAGAGTTGAGGCACCGGTCGCCCTCGGAGGTGAGTCTCTCGGGTTGTGTGCTTCTTTATTGGAATTGATCTGCTGTAGACCGGCAGGAGGAGGGGTGGCGAGCACATGGCAGCGTGTCTGCAGCTTGAGGGGGGAAAAGTGATTAAAAAACAGCATATCTAAAAAAAAGCAAAAGTTTAGATCTAAGCTAACACAAAGTCTGCGAAATTCTTGTATTAGCTGCTTCCCTTCAACTAAGTAGCTGTTATCGCCGCTCGCAAACAGCGCAGTCACGCAGTTGTTTACCACGTTGTTTTCATTTTATGCCCACGCATTTCTCGTTTTATTCATATTACTGATGCTCTTGAAAGTTATTAAAATTTAAATGAAAATCCCCACGCATGAAAATTAACTTAAAACCGCCTGCTTATCGGGAAATAAAAATATAATCGACGTCTTTCGGGCCTGGCTAATTCTAGAATTTCATTTATTTCGAAGTCGATAGATGGCATTTTAATTCTAAAACCCCCCATTGCGTATTAACATTCTATTTACTTGTTAATATTTTGTTAAAAATATTTTTCTGCAACTCACCGAGTCACTTTTTAAAAATAACTGTTTACGAAAACGCGTTTCCAGAGATTAGTCGGATCCAGCGAGCGTAAACGCGCTAAGGGCGCGTAGCCAGCGGCGTGCTAGCGCTACTTTTATAAAGTGGCTGAGTCGTTGTGGCCCGAATTTACGACACTCGTTTACTCATATCATTTCTCATAGAACCACCGTAATGAGAGACATTTTCCGCCGCAGTACCTTATCATTTTGGGTCGATAAGTGAGGGCTCCGCGGAGCGGAGGGGCTGGTAATAACACGCAGCTAGCAACAGAGCTAACTAGCAGCGTCACGTGTTGCCTACGAGTTTACAAACAGAGCCTCGGTCGGGCCCCGTTCCAACATGAAACCGCACAGGCGTCCTCTGTCCTCTGCGTCCTAGTTTGTTTTTCTTTTGAAAACAACTGAAAATGACGAGATTTACAACAAATAAACTGATATACACCTAAAGTGTTTTGGTGGTTTTTGAAAATAACATATTGTATGTAATGCTGTTGTATTTCAAACATTACAAAAGGTTTAAATACTGAGGGCAATGTATGTACAGGTCATCTCTGAGCTCAATGCTCAGGTATTAGGCAGTGTCTCTCTCTCTCTCTTATTTTTTCTCTCCTTTTGGCTGTCCCCAATCTCCCTACTGTGGCCATTTCAGAAGTTTTTGAACCAATAAAAATCATGGAAAGCTACTCTTGGAGTTGGTGTAATGTTTAATTGGGCTAATGTGGTTGGAGTGATAGGTTCAAGAGTGAAAGGGAATGTTTACTAGATTGTCGTGAGAACTGCTGCAATGTATGGTTTAAAGATGGTGGCACGGTCAAAAAGACAGTAGGCAGAGCTGAAGATGTTAAGGTTTCTGTTTTGAGTGAGCAGGTTAGGACAAAATTAGAAATGAGAACACAAGAGGGACAGTTCGGTTTGCGCGGTTTGGAAGACAAAGTTGGAAAGCCAGTTGGAGGCTGAGATGGTTTGGTCATGTGAGGAGGAGCAATGGTGGATATACTGGACAAAGGGTGATAAACATGGAGCTGGCAGGCAGGAGGAAAAGAGGAAGACCACAGAGGAGGATGAAAAGTATAGGGTGATCAGTTATCAAGTTATTCCAGATTTCCAGCTGAAGCAAAATTCAGGTATGAGGTGGACACTTTAAGGTTTTGCTGTGGTGCCCACTAAAGGCAGCACTCAGAGAAAGGAAAAAAAATGTTGAAGTTTTGTCCACATTATTCAAATGAGTGAAAATTATTAACTGATTATGCTTTTTGTACATTTTAAATCGGGCTGAAAATAAATGTCACTACTACGACCGGAATACTAGCACATTAATTAATTAAGCCATTGCATATTTTTAATACAGACCACTATTTAATAGTAAAAAGCTGCCATATGTTATTGCCCTCTGGTGGTGACTAAAAAGACTGCATCTTATAGACCGGAACTTCATCCATCTTTTATGGTGTCTGTGGGTATGCAGTGTTTTTCGAACTCTGTTTTAGGTACATATAGACTGAAAAACTGATTGAATGAATCATCAGTTTGAGGTGAAGGGACGTCTTTTTTTTTTCTTTTTTCTTTTTTTGCTTGTTTTCCACATGACCCCAAGTACTGCAAGCCAGTAAATGGGTAACTTGTGTCAGCTTAACATTCTGCAAAAGTCCTCCTGTTTATACGTAGGGGATGATTGGGTTTTATTACAAGGGAGGCGCTGTGATCATACAATGAAACACTGACATGTTTCAACGAAAACGCCGTGGAAACTCCCATGTTCTCGCGCTGCTTCTGTGGGTAACCACGCTTTCTAAGTAAGTCACCTTACCCGTTAGGCAGTGCTCAGTACAAGGAAAATGAATTAGTCACATTGACCTCGCTATTTAATCAAACCATCAAGTGAGTCATTTGAGGTTACAGATTTGTTTCATGTCACCAGCTGACAACGAGATTACAGCGGCAGCTCGACTGATTTTGCAGATTCTTCATCCACATGTAAACGCAGAAGTGGAGTTTCTGAAGAACTTAAACTTGGGAGAGTTTCGGTGATCTAAAAAGTTGTTTACATGTGAACAAAGGATCAAAACACACAGGGGAAAAAAACAAAACATAAACTAGGGCTGGGCAATATGGCCTAAAATCCATATCAAGATATAATTTAAAGCAGCGGTCCCTAGCCCCCAGGCCTCGGACCGGTCCGTGAGTTGTTTGGTACCGGGCCGCAAGAGTTGAGGCTCGGTGTGAAATGTATGGTTTTCAGGGTTTTTATCGGTTTTCAGCGTTATTTTGTTATCGTTTTTTTCGTTAACTCTGTATTCCTGGGTCTTTTCACGTGTGTTATGAATAAATCTTCTTTTTTTTCGGTAATGGTACTATTGTTGTATTTATCCGCGACACCTTAAAGGCCGGTCCGTGAAAATATTGTCGGGCATAAACCGCTCCGTGGCGCAAAAAAGGTTGGAGACAGCTGATTTAAAGCATGTGCGGTAACGATATATATCGCAATATGTTCTTTTCTTCTGTATAACGTATTTTACACACTATAAGGCACGCTTAAAATCCTTTCATTTTCTCAAAAATCAACAGTGTGGATTGTGTATGAATTCTGGTTGTGCTCACTGACCTCGAACTGATTTTATGTGGTACATGGCACTCAGAAATCTGTCAAAAATGTTTTAGTACGACTTTGGTAAGCTACGAAGCTGCACCGCTTGATGGATTGTTGGAGCATTACGGCTGCTGTAGTCAGGAGCCTCGCGGAGTAATCTGGGTCCTAAACTCCTTGTGGTTCAGGTCCCAAAATCAAACGATCACTGCAGCATCACTGAGAGTTGAAAAACTGTCTAAATTCTTTCATCTGTAATAAAATGATCAGCGTTCTGCTCTACCAGGTGTAACAACTAAGTTTAACATCCAGGCATCCAGAAGTTAGCTCACTAGTTTTCCACCTAAACACGATATAGCATGTTCTGACTGAGAGATTTCTAAACAAATTTAAAAAGTACAGCTCTGCTATCACTTCCAACATAAATGAAGACAGAAAACTAAACAGCAGTCACTTTTGTAGGGTTACTGAAGTTGGGCTAGCTGGTATATAATGATGTGCTACGTGATCACTAGCAAAACAGCCACGTTAGTATAAGATTAGCACAGTAAAGCTGAAGGATGAACGCCAACTTCTTTTCCACTCGATAAAAGTTAACATGGGGGTTTCTAGTGGTTGGGGACAAATGCAGTCGCATGGCAGGATGCTGTAAACAGACCAAACTTCAGTCAGGAGAACAACTGAGATAATCCATCCACAATACGAGGTTAGTCATTAATATACTGCAACAACATGAGAATAGAGCAGCTGTGATGGAATGCAGCATTAATGAATAGATGGTAGGGAAGTGGAGGAAGCACAGTTTTTGCCCATATTCCAAAAGTGCTTCGTCTCTTTGATTTTACTGTCGCCCGCCATAATTTGCAGATGATGTTGTTTGCAGCCACTGCCATGCTTTCGACCAAAACAGGCGCAGCTTGATGACACCATCAACATGCACGGTAGAGCGGAATAGCCAAAATCTCTAACACTGGCCAAATTTATATAGTTTCTACCGTATACCGTTTATACCGCCCACCCCTAACATAAACCCTATGAATACCTGCGTATGTGTTGAAGCACAACTGCAGATTATTATAAGGAAGTTTTTATTTTTGCATAAACAGAGTAAGCAGAGAGGAAAAGCTCAACTAGATTAAACATACAAGAGCACACAGTGTATTCAAAAAAAATGTTGATGTTTTATTATTTTTTTATTACAACATGCTGTTACTGTATCAACCATCACGCAAAAATTGAAAATGATATGTTGAAATCTGGAGGCTAAACATGAAACATTCAGGGTTAAAAGTGGCGAAGAGTCACAGAGTCAAACTGTAACCAGTTTAATGTGTCACTCTTCTCACATGCTGCTTAAAATAGAAATAGTGTTTACAGTTATCCACTCTTTCACCCGGTTGGCGACTTTGAGCCATGCTGGATTAACGGCGCGCTGTCCCTTCTCTCCCCTCAGGTCCAGGAGCTGGTCCTGGATAACTGTCGCTCGAGCGAAGGAAAGATCGAGGGAATCACAGAAGAGTTCTCGAATCTGGAACTGCTCAGCCTCATCAACGTCGGCCTGACCAGCGTCGCAGACATCCCAAAGCTGGCCAAACTCAAAAAGGTGAGAGGGCCTGCAGAGCGTCAGGAAACCAGATGTTCATGTAAATGTTTGAAGAAGGTGCAGATGTTCAGCTTTGCAGAGCTTTCAGTTCCTTTTCCAGCACGTTTTCTCTTTGTAGTTTCTGAAAGGTGATTCAAATTTGATTGTTTGGTTTGTTATTGGTGAATTTCTCAGTTACGTAGCCTGTGGACAGCTGCCTCTGGTATACTTTGCTTGCTTTTTGGTGCAGCAGAGGGTTGAGAAGCTTTATGTTTGGCTTCAACTGTCACACAGTTTGATGGCTTTTTGTGTCTTTCTTTTTGTCCTGTCAGCGCTCTAAAAGTAAAAGACACTAATGATGTAATAATATAAAGCTGCGATATCACCAGGTTTTTAAAAAAAAAAAATATATATTTCTGTTTGATTTTTTTGATTCACAGCTTTTCTTTGTGTCTCTGCAGTTGGAGCTCAGTGACAACAGGATATCAGGTGGTCTGGAGGTCCTGGCAGAGCGGCTGGTGAACCTAACGCACCTTAACCTCAGTGGGAACAAGTTCAAAGACATCAGCACCCTGGAGCCGCTGGTGGGTGGAGTCTACATCGTTATTTAAAAAAGAAGTGACAGATCACTGCTGTGTGCTTTTGTATGTGAATAGGTTGTAACCATCAGTAAATCATATAACAGCATGAAACACAAACACATTTATATATGTATATATAAACAAACAGTTTCTATAGTAACAGCCAACATGGACGACAGTCAGCAGCTCTGTTATCCTTATACTGACATGTAGGTATACAATATATGTGCTGGTCTCAGGTGTCCATAATGCAGTTTCAGCTTGTAGTGACATAATAGTGCACGAGCTGTGGGTCGTCAGTATTATGTCCAAAGCAAACTTGCACACAGTGTGCTGTAGCCAAACGAGGGCAGCACTTTGTACTTCTTCATTAGTTCTTTGAAAATGTTTTCAGAAAACTGACCGGATGTCCGTCTTTGTCCCTCCAGAAAAAGCTGCCCCAGCTGAAGAGTCTCGACCTGTTTAACTGCGAGGTGACAAACCTGGCCGACTACAGGGAGTCCATCTTCAAGCTGCTCCCCCAGCTCACCTACCTGGACGGCTACGACATCGACGACTGCGAGGCCTCCGACTCCGAGGGCGAGGGAGACGGCGTCGACGATGAGGACGAAGAAGGTGAAGGTTTGATTTCTAGAAAACTGAGAGAAAATTAAAGCGACAGTAATATTAAGATAGTTCTTTTTATTTTGCAGAGGGCGAGTCAGAGGACTTTGAGGAAGAGGAAGAGGAGGATGAAGAAGACGTAGTGGCTGAGGAGGACGACGAAGACGACGACAGCGGTGATGAGGTGAGTTTGGAGTTAAATCAGTAACATTTACATAGAAATGCTGAAGAACGATGAAAGGAGGGAAAATGAGATGCGAAGTGTCTTCTGTTTATCTGTGACGTATTTGCTCGTCTGTCCTCCACATGCTGTCTAAAACCACTTTCATCACAGCATCACAGTCAAATGCCCTCTGTCCTGTGAATTTGGTGCATTAAGACTACAATAAGATGGAGTCAGTCTGCAATTTAATGAGGTTACGTTGGCGTTTACATGTTACAGCTCGTGATGAATCTCTGAAAAGTCCAGGCAGAACCTCAGAAATGTAACCAGAATGCAACCAGTTAAGTGCCATACTGCACAGAGACGTGTTGCAGACAGGTTGCATTCAGGGACACAAGAGTTGCTCAGTATTTGCAGCATGTTGGGAATCTGTCTGCATATATAAATAATTAATTCTAAACTCCTCGACAAAGTGACTGCAGGCACGCTGGGATTGGTTGGAGGCAGGTTGGCTCCCACCAGGAGACCCGTGCAGTTAAACACCCATATGGATAATTTATAATACAACAGCTCTGTTTGTTTATAGGTACACACATGTGCTTTCATGTAGTCCTCCAAAACCCGACAGGAGTCTGTAGGTTAAACACAGATTGCTTGGAAAGGAACAGGGAAGCTTGTGGTGCCCTTGATGAGTCAGGAGAGGGTCTCCTTAATTCTTGTTCACAAAAATTAAAAGTCGTCATGTTTGATAACAAGAAAGGAAACTGGCTACACTTAAAAACAATACGGCGAGAAAACACGTACACAAAGTCTGACGAAAAGCTGTATGCCAAGCACAGTTTGCTATAACAACCCCACACACTATAGGTGGTTCCAGTAAAAGCAACGAAAGGCAGGATTTGTTTGGTTCTTAGCAAAGTAAAACCATTCAGGCGTCACTAGTAAAACATCATCATGCTTTTTCTCATGTTCATGAGTAGAGGCTGGTCAGTGTTCTGCGCGTGGCTGAGTCGGTCAAAAATACACAGCTTTTGCAGCACAGTTTAAATGTTCACAGTTTACGTTCAGTAAACAGTAGTAAAACTTTGATTGTTAGCTTGTGGTACATTAGTCTGCTCTGACTTTCCGAGCGGGGTAATCCCGAGTTGAGGGAGCGTTCCACAACACATTTCCAACTGGGAACTCTGACTTTCCGACTGATTCGGAAGAGGCACTGTGAGTTTGCATCAGCAGTCTTTGTCCCTGCAGGATGGAGAGGTGAACGGAGATGTGGACAGCGAGGAAGAAGACGATGATGAAGATGAGGAGGAGGATGGTGAGTAAACCTGTATTTTTCCTCACTATTACTTCTCTTTGTTTTGAGGAACACTCGAACGCTCATTTATATCTGATGGTGCCTGTTGAGTTGGTTCAGTCAGGTGTAGCCAAGTAGTAACTAATCAGCCAAATAAAAGACTCCCATTGTTCTTCCTGCAGATGAGGACTCGTCTCCAGCCAAAGGAGAAAAGAGGAAGAGGGACCCCGAGGACGAGGATGATGATGACGATGATGAATGAGGGCCTGCAGAGACCCCTCCCTGACCCCCGCAAACCCTGCTGACCTCTTATCCACTCAGTCTAAATGTCTCATCCCTGCTGCCAATTCTTCCCCCTCTGCCTCCTCCCACTTTCACTCTGGGCCACGTCCCATTTCTGACTCTGGTCTCCTCGCTTGTCGCCTGCCAAATTGACATCCGTTATTGTCTAAAACGCCTCATTAATTATTTGTTTTGCTTTTTTTTTTTACTTTCATTTCCACAAGTTGAGCCAAATTTTTTTTCCCATTGTCATCAACAACTTACAGCCTCCATTTAGTCCTCTGTTTTTGCCGCAGTCTTATTCTTTTGGTTTAATGGCAGCACGTTTATTTTTTGTGAACTCAGGAAAGAAGAAAACACTTTAACAGAAAAGTATCTGTTTTCTCGTCCCACCATCAACTGTATAAAAGAGTTTGTTTAGCTATTAAAATAAGAAGCTGCAGAGAGATTCTCACATTTTTAGAAGCTGGAACCAGAGGATGTTTCGCCTTCTTTGGAAACCTGCAAATCTTCCATCAGAATATACAGCTAGACAGTTTTTTATTTGTTTGTTTCATCACAGTTTACATTTAAAATGGGGGGGGGGGGAACAACCTAAACTTGTGCTAACAGGAAAGAAACCATCTGAACTCTAAATTCCAACTCTTGTTTGTGGGCAGTAAATGCATCACCAGTCTGGAAAAGCTCAAAAAAACAAAACGTTGCAGACTTTACGTCAGTTTTCCTCTTCCTCCTGAGAATAAATGTCTCTCCTTAACTTTTTTTTCCATTGCATGTGGGCGTGGTTTATTTTATTTTTTTACAAAACAATAAAAACATGAGGAGTTAATAAATGAATTAATGAAATCTGAACCCAACTCCATTTCCTTATTCCTCTCCTGATGTCATCGGTCTGTGATGTAGCTCGTCGCTCTGATGACATCATTGTATTAAAGCCAATGTTAAAAAAACAAAAAAAAGCTACCCACCCTCCTCCTCCCTCTTCCTGTTGCCAAGGCCAAACCTGCTCAGGGCAAACCGTGTTGTCTTTTTTTGCCAACAGAGCTTTTTAAAAGAAATATTTTTTCAGAGGAATTTGTTTTTGTTTAATTTTTGTATGGTTGTCTGGGGAAACGCTCTGCCTCTTTCCTCCCCCCTCTCCCTCTTTCTGCCTCCTTTAGTTTCTGTCTCCTCAGTAGAGAGCTCCAGATGTTCCTTCAAGCTTACACTGACTAGTCGAGGTTGTTTTCTTTTTGTTTTGGTTTTTTTGTGTTTTACTTTCTGTAAGTTAAATGAAAGCAAACAAAAAATACATACAAAAAGGACTTTGTAAATAAAATCTTAACATTTTGCTCCTGGCTCTCTTGTGTCCTCGTCTCCCCCCGTCTCGTTTAGCCTTTTAAAGCCAGCGCTGATCACAGTCAGTAGCGGTTTTTGACATGGGTGACATGGGCAGTTGCCCAGGGCGGCATCACGGGCATCGGCAAAAAAAGTTGCTCGTTCTCATGCTGCCCCGACATGAGCGCATATTGGGAATGGCATAGGCACCGCTCTATTTTCTATCGGCCACTTACTGGAAGGGCGCCCTCCGTATGCGAGGTGCACCTGCTGCTTGGGGCACAGGGAGGAGAGGGCGGGGCAGCGGGTTATTCACTGGCTGGTTGGAGCAGCATCTAATAACCAACCCGCACTAATATATACAGATCACTCAATTATACATATCAAGGATTAACAGAGGTTAGGTGCTTGTTGGGAATCTCAGTCTCACTGAACGTGCTCCTGTGACTAGCCAGCATGTCATGGAGTGGGTGGGAGGTATTATCCATAATTGTCCTTATCTTGGACAACATCTGCCTCTCAGACACCACCCTAACGGAGTCCAGCTCCATCCCCCACAACATTACTGGCCTTGTGGGTCAGTTTAGTCTGTTGGCATCTGTGACCCTCAACCTGCTGCCCCAGCATGCAACAGTATAGAGGATAGCACTGACCTGATACAACAAGATAACATTAATTAGTACGGATAGTGAAAACTTCTGTTTATGTTTGTTAGCCACTTGGCTATGATAGTAAACAGTAGACACTGATGTAGCTGACTGAACTTTTTGGCCAATTTTTTAGCACAATTGCAGTTGTGCGGACATATACACAGTGGACCAAATGGTTCTGTGACAAGAACCCCACAGGCTGAAATGCAGAGCAAAACCATAACAGAGCCACCCCATGTTCTTCTATAGATCAGATTCATGACTCCATCAGATCTGCTTTCACTGATTGATCAGTCCAGTTCTGATTTTTGTCCCTCAGCCTTTTCTCATCTTTGACGTTCTGTGTCAGGTCTGTGCTGGATTTTAAAACATTTATTTCCGCAAGCTGATGTGACGTCACAGATCAACTTTAAATATGAAACACGATTAAGTCAGAAAACTGCAGTTCCTCTAATGGCCACTGGAGTGAGTCACTCATCACAAACTTTAAAGCAGAAACAAGAACATTTACAGCCTGGTGCGAAACACATTTTTGGTCTTCATAACTAAATTTCCGGCACACGGGAGCTGTGTGTGTGCTGATCTGGAACATAATATTACATAATGTAATTACCTGACTAATGATATGGCTCTATGTGTGTTGCAGACCACCCAAAACGAATAGTGCTTCAGTTTTGTTGAGGGAAACACTCATATTTTATTGGTCTTACATTCATTTTAATGAGTATTCAATGAAACACCAGGACTGAGGCTTCAAAGAGTCCAGAAACCCTGGGTGACTACATCAAACATTTTCATGCAGTCCAGTTCCAAACTTCATTCAACATTTTTTGCACACTCACACTGTGTTTTTCATGAGTTTTGTGATTTATGCATTTTAGCTCTTTTGGCCTACCAAAACAGCAAGGTCATGTATCTTACCCTTGAAGTTAGTTTGCAAGCTGCTAACAAGAAGATCTGCTGTGTCCTTCTGCCCCTTCCATTGTTTCCAACCTGCTTGCACCAGTAAAAGTCACTAGAGCAAGCGGTGTGTGTCTGCTGCCTGACATCACTGCACCTTGCATGTGGTCATAATTACACTTAGCTCCATAAGTATTTGGACAGCTTTAATTCAAGAGTTTTAAGAAATTAGCATTTTTGCATCCCATCATCCCAGACGCAGGGTTTCTTATATTCGATGGTGACCATTGTGTTTCAGGTAGTTTGTGAAGTATGAAGGAAAATAGTCTCTGCTCCCAAATAAACCATTTTCAGGAATTTTAGGAAAACAAGAGTTGTGGCTTCAACTACAAAGTCCAGTCTGTGGAGGATAACTCTGCTGTCTGTGGGTCACGCTGTCTCTGTAAGCCCCTCCTACACAGCAGGGTCTGAATCAGAAGGTCGCTCTCATGTTCTTTCTGGTGTTTTTGATATCCTGCTCCAGCTGAGCAATTTTCATCTGCAGAACGTGAAAACACAAAAATATAAAAAAGTATCTGACAAGAACTTCTGATAACGTACTGTTTGTGAACTCACGTCTTTCTGATGGAGCTCCTCCTTCAGGCCTCTGATCTCATCCTGCTGCTTGTAAAATGCCTGGAGTAGCTGAAACAGAAAAAACTAGGACTGAGTTTGTGTGCAAGAGAAGGAGACACTCTTCTGTTTTATTATTTATCTAACCTCACACTCTGTCATTGGTGGCGGTCTCTCGGCAGGCTCGCAGCAGTGCGGGGTGCAGCAGTATGTCCACAGTGGGACCTGGGTCTCGTCTGGCTGCCACCCCGACAGATCGCTCAGATCTTTGGGATATTTGGCATCCTGATAGGACAGCTGCTCCTCCAGAAAAACCTCAACAGAGAACAGCAACAAAAGTATCAGAGAACTACTCTCCAAAAAAGGCTCAGGTCTCAGGTCAGTTTCGAAGGATGTGACGGTTACTGTAGCAAAACATATTTCCTAGTTTGTCTAAAGGAAACAGAAGTTTCTAAAAAGAGTACGGTGGCATGAAAAAGCATTTCCCCTCTTTCCCAGTTTCCTGTTTTTTGCAGGTTTGTCACATTTAAATGTTTCAGATCATCAAACAAATTTAAATATTAGGCAAACATAACAGAAGTAAACACAAAATGCCGTTTCTATATGAAGGTGTTTATTATTAAAGGGAAAAAATCCAAACCTACATGGCCCTGTGTGAAAAGGTGATTGCCCCCTAAACCTAATAACCTGTTGGGCCATACTTAGCAGCAACAACACCAATCAAGTATTTACAATAACTGGTGATCTTTACAGATATTTTTACAGACTTTTACTGTTACAAATTTAAGTGTGAAAAAACATACGGTACTTAAAAACAGGAAACAAGATAGGGACCAAGCACTTTTTCACACAACTGTGTACCACTTTAAAATCAAGAAAAGGCACCCCAGATTGGTATATTTCACCCTGCAATGTCAGGTAAAATAACCAGATCACACTTTACCTCTATAAAGTCTTGGCCTATCTCTGTCACTGCAGCCGGGCTGCTCTGAAACCTGAGGGAGCTAAGCTGCCGCACCAGCCCCTTCTCAGCTGGGGTTTCTGGGTAAGGGTTGGGTACTCGAGGGTCTGGTTTCAGGGACATCAGCACTGGGCCTGGTGAGGAAATGTAAGAGATCAGTGATAAACTGAATGATCTATAGAGAGTAAATATCTTTAGTGTACCTGATGGCCCAGGTAGGTTACAGACCTCTGTTGACCCCCAACAGCCACTCCTGAGCGGTCATGGCTGCCTGGTTTCCAGCTGTCATTGGGTACAGATCCTCTTGAAAAATTCCTGACTGGAAGGAACAAGAAAAAAACTGGACCAATACTTCTTGTACTCTGATTATACTCAAGATAAGTACATCATCCCAACCTCTTTGCGTGGTATGATCATGGACAGCGGTTCGACCAGGTCTTTGATGGCAATCAGGCGATAAAACCGGAAAATCTCACAGGCGGTCACATCTAGGCCACGCTTTGGCATCACCCCTGGAGTGAGTCAGACGTCAAAACACATTTTCGTCCTGTGTCATAAAGTATTGTGGATATTCTAAGTGGCACTAAACTCTTTGCCTTTTTCTATCATTACAACATGAAAGTCTAGACTTTAAAGAACGACAACATCAATATTTAAAGGTTGGTGAGAGGGTGGTGGAGCAAGGCATGGGTTTTTCAGGCAGAAGACTGGTCCTGTATAGAATGCCTTAACAGTCTTGCAACCAGACATAAGACAGTTTGAGAAATGTAGGATGACCAACAGACATGAAAAGATGACGATTGACCAACATTTGTTGAGTTGTTGGGGCAGAAGCTTGGCTCTTGGTGTCTTCCAGCTGTTAACATGACCGCAGGATGTAGCATTGAAACAGTGAAGGAAATTATCCATCAAAGTCGACATTTAAGTCAAGTTTGTTAGATCAGCATCAAAGTGCCTGTGAATGAACTTAGACAAGCTTTCTTAAAATTGTGTCGGTACCTTGAAATGAGTATAGGTATAGATGATGAGTTCGATACAAAGTTTTAGGTTTGTTAAAAACTGCAACCAAATCACTGTTACATCCACTTCAAAAGGATCACAATGCTCTATGATTTTTTTCATATCCAATCAAAGAACCAATATCCTTGAATATCAGATAGTTATAATAACAAAATGGAACCAATTTAATGTTTGTGAGAGAGTAAAAGAGACAAGCATGTTTGATCTGCTTTGATGATTTACCCAAGTTTGACTCAAACAGCATTTTGGGTAAAAATCCAAAGGGTCATGTCACC